GAGAGAGAGAGAGAGAGAGAGAGAGAGAGAGAGAGAGAGAGAGAGAGAGAGAGAGAGAGAGAGAGAGAGAGAGAGAGAAAGAGAGAGAGATTTTCCTCCCCGGTACATTGTGTTTACAACCAAGTCATCTCTTTGTTGGTTCGTGTTTGTATGTGTGTAGGTGACCACTGACTCTAATCAGGGGTTGTCTTAGAGTGCATGTGCACTGTGGAGTTCACAACCAGGGAAAAGTCTTTGATTAAATCGAGAGTGCCGCTTGGCAACTGTAGGTTGTAGGGGGCTTGGGTAAAGGAAGTGCGGTGTGTGTAATCAACATGTTGGGGGGATCCAATAATAAGGTGAAGTATGGACTTCAATTGGCAGTCCAGAAGAAGAAAGGGAAGGAAGAGGAGGGACTGAAAGGAAAGCTGTCCGTACCTCCACCTCGAGTGGCTTCCATCTTCTCTCAAGATGATCATGATGAGGATGATGTAGAGGCAGAGATCGAGCGTCAGGCAAGCAAGAAGCGTGCTCAGAAGGAAATAGAACTCCTGCATGCCAAAGCATTGCAGGAGAATCCGTTGGCATTTGAATACGACGCTGTGTACGATGAGATGACGGAGAAGAAAATGAAACCGAAGACAGAAGAGATGGTGTCGCGAAAGCCAAAATATATTGGGACATTGCTGGAGAAAGCCAAGCGACGGGAGATGGAGCAAGAATTGGTGCGAGAAAGAACGCTGCAGAAGGAGAGAGAAAGGGAGGAGGGCATGTACGAAGGAAAAGAGAAGTTCGTAACGAGTGCATATAAGAAGAAGCTTGCGGAGCAGGCTAAGTGGATCGAGGAGGAGAAGCGACAAGAGGAGCGTGAAAAGGCTGAAGATGTAACAAAGCGAAAAGACCTTAGTGACTTTTACCATAATCTGCTTTCGAAGAATGTAGCGTTTGGTCGTGAAAGCACTTCTGTCCCTCGGAGCCCAAAGACTGGTCACATGAGCATGTCGGAGTGCCGAAAGGTTGGAAGTGCAGTAGGTCTAGCAGCTCCTGCAACAACAAGTGCAGCGACCAGGCAAATCGAGCGCAACGAGAGGCAGGATGTACCATCGTCCCCAAGTTCAGGAGTTGAGAGGACGAGGACTAGGAGGAGACCTGGGGTCAGAGAAGAGGATGGTGATGACGATGAGTGCATTGGCGAGCAAGCAAGATCTGCTGGTGCTTTGCCATCAGACGACGTTGGTATGTTGGGCGCTGCCCATCATCGCATGCGTCAAGAGACCAGTCCATCCAATCTCATGAGGAGAGAAAGGGAGGAGAAGGTTAGGAGAAGAGGTGGAGAGACGGTAGAGGACAAAAAGCAGCAGGCATCAAAGGCGGGCAGCAGACAAAGCATAGATGAACACGAAGATTGGAGTGCTCACGAAAGGAGAGAACATCAGGGTCAGTATCGGAATAAGGGTTCAGGCAGACGGGAGGTTAGTATTGAAGCAAGAAGAGGCGGAGAGACGGTAGAGGACAAAAAGCAGCAGGCATCAAAGGCAGACAGCAGACAAAGCATAGATGAACATGAAGAGTGGAGTGCTCACGAAAGGAGAGAACATCAGGTTCAGTATCGGAATAAGGGTTCAGGCGCACGGGAGGGTAGTATTGAAGCAGAGAGACCATTCTTGGGGTATGGGGGGGGTAAGACGGCCAGAGATGGAGCGGAAGATGGTACTGACATACCAGACAGAGAGGTGGCCTCGGCTATAGCACCAGAGCGATTGACTGGATCAGTTGAAGGGAATGCCATGGAGGATGAAGGAGGTGGTCATCATCGTGGAAGGGAGACAGTTGCACACAAGATGGCACTGTCACTCGCAGATGAGAGGCAGCTGTCAGCGGAGGCCGTTGCCGCGGCAAGGGAGAGATATTTGGCAAGAAAGAAGATGCGCAAGGGTTGAGGCCAAGGAGAAACTCCTGATTACTGTCGGAGGTGAAGGTGTGTGTGTGTGTGTGTGTGTGTGTGGAGAGAGAGAGAGAGAGAGAGAGAGAGAGAGAGAGAGAGAGAGAGAGAGAGAGAGTACATACCTGAGTCTGGGCGTGTGTTGGCGATAGCTGCAGATACTTGTGTTCGAATACTTGCAACCATTTTGTGATTTGGAATAACAAACTTCAAGTTCTGCTGATATCTGTCTGGGTCCTGTGCTGCCCGAGTGTGGTGTGAGCTTTGCCGACTTGCATAATTGCCTTTTCGGAATCAAATTCGAGTCGGGTCATTGGAGAAGCTTTGGAAGCACCGGGAAACCTATTTTTAGACCGATGTTCGCAGTCCGACTACGCTCTGACTGGTGGGGAAAAACCACCCTCTGACAGAAGTCTGACGTCAGGCACGACAAGCTTGCCAAGCTCATGAAACCGGCACTATCTCTGAGCCACTTTTTCGTGCCGCTCGATTGATTGATTGATTGATTGATTGAGCGCGAGAGAGAGAGGCACCGGTTCGTCTTGCCCAATCCTTGCCCGATCTTTGCCTGATCCTTCCCCCGGGTGTTCTCCGGAACCTTCGCCGCCACTTTCCGAAAAGACAAAAGAAAACAAAAAATCAGAAACCTAGGCCACCAGAGTGGCCCGGGACTTGCCCGGCCGGACCAAAAAAAATAAAAAAATAAAAAATACTATGCTGTTTTTCCGGGCGCCCGGGCACCCAACGTATGACCGGGTACACGTCCGGGTGCCCAGCGGGGCATGACCCCAGGGCAGGGTTCCAGGCAGCCCCAGCGCCCAAAAAAAAAAAAAAAGGAATTCAAAAATTTCCGGGAAAAAACGATGTTGTGTAGAATTGCAATACAAACGACTTTTGGCTGAGGGTCACATTAGAACTCCTCACAGAATCGGAGGTCAAAAAGCAAATAACAGAATCACACTAAGGCACCCCACTTTAAACCCCTTTAGCCCTAGGCTACCAGAGTGGCCCGGGGCCACTTGCCCGGCCGGGCCAAAAAAAAAAAAAAAAAAAAAAAAACTTTATTTTTTATTTTAAATATGGTGAAGAATTTCGATGTGACCCTGAGGCAAAAGTTG